CACCAGTGTAACCCTAAGTGGACAACTTTTGAATTAGCCCGTTTACAAACCTCTGATGCCTGGGTCGTCATCTTTGGACCGTATCTTTTTTATTTTAACAGCTTTACCGCTCAAAGTTGCTAAAATCAACCTCTGGCGAAAGAAATTTGACCCCTCGAAACTTCGCATGTTTGATGCCATGCTTGTTTATGGTAAGCGAAGCCACGATATTAATAGATTTCAGTTTCGATTATTTATTGACAATTTTTTAATCTTTTTAGGAAAAAATTAAAATACTCTATATACAAATTATACAATTATGCATTTAAGCGTTATTTTCTTCTACATATAATGAAATTAACGCACAGACACTCCTTCTTCAATTATGCCGAAGCTGAACTACAGCTAAGTAAATAGCGTTGGAAGGTGAAGGTCACAATTTGGTGTACACAACTTCTGTGTCAGCAGAATCCTATGAATTAAAAGCCCTTTTTTGTGGCTACTGTACATTTTTCTGTCACTCAAAACATACAAAATCATAATGTTAAGTCCATAATGTATACTGAACCACAATGTCCTCCTTGGTGGGTTATTTAGCCTACAGAGAACAAGGAATCTATCCTCCAAGCTTTCTCAGTAGAGCGGAGACGGTGAAGAGGGCTTTTAGTTTGGGTCTCAGCAAATACAAAGATCTGGAAGAAGTTCATAGAGGAGGCGTAACGTCTCTTGACATTGATCCGGCGGAAGGTAGATTGTAAGTATTGAAATATTTGTTTGTTTGCTCAAATTATTTTCTTGCCCATTAAAAGTTATCCCTAGCTAATGAGCAAAGAAAGCATCCTGCCAAAATACATTTACACTTACATGTACAGTATCTTCACTTAACAAGTGTTGTCAAAATGGGAATGTCTCAGATATGCTTTCTATGGATAGCTGTCAAGTAAAACAAAACTTTGTTCAAAATCATTTTCAAAAGGAATACCAAAATCATTATTTGGAGTTTTAAGGAAATTGAGAGATATGACTATGTATACAAGGAGAAGATATAATTTAGATGACTAATTTTCCAGTGGAACTTTGAACAATTGCATATTTGGCAGGTGCAACAAAAATCTATTTCTTATGCCATCATATTATTTAAATCTGCAGATCTACTGGTACCCATGTAAGACCTTTATTCCATTATCTAATACTTTCCATTTTAGCCTTTTATCTGGAAGTTCAAGTGGAGAGGTTGTCATCCACGATCTTCATAATACAACAGGATCTCTAAAATACACATTCAAATGTGTGGCACACGTAAAACGTCCCATAGGGAGGGGCAGGCAGAATGTGTCCACTCATGCACACTCAGGGAGCGTGGAGACTGCACAGTGGTACCCTCTAGACACAGGCATGTTCCTGACCAGTGGGATGGATTCAAAACTAAAAATATGGGATGCAAATGCATTAGTTGTGAGTACCAATTCACAGATGATTGTTTGTTTTAATATCGTGTAGTTTAACAGATGGTGCTGTTCAGTAAATGAAATATGTTTTAAATGGAAACACACACATGCACACACATACACACACCCCTCCCCAGCACATACAGAGTGGTATAGACACATACATACATTTCAATTCATGTCCAAATCCATTTGTTGCAGCCAGCAGACAGTTATGAGTTTGACAGTAGTGTCTACTGTCATGATATGTCACCAATAGCAACTAAGCACACTCTGGTGGCCTGCGGAATAAAAGGGCGCATCAAGTTAATTGACCTCAGATCAGGCTCCGCCAGTCACACATTGCAGGGGCATAGGAGGACTGTGTATACTCTGAAATGGTCAACACGTGAGCCATATGTACTGGCCAGTGGAGGGTAAGTTGCCTGTCATGTTTCTTTTAAAATGATCAGATTAATAAATTATCCAGTGATATTGTGTGTCTTATCTTTAGTTTGTGTTGACAGATTCATTGGGCAAATATAACTTTCAATAGTTTATGCCCATTGTAGCTAGTAATGAAAAAAAAAAAGAAAAGTGGTTGATAATTGATATTTTTTGTTTCTTTTGTTTCTTTTTTTTTTTTTTTTTTTGCATTTAACAATGTGTATGATGCTGCTGTTCTGTTAATAAGTCATTTATGGTGATATTTTTAATTTCAGGGCAGACAGCAGAGTCTTGCTGTGGGACATACGGAGTGCTAAAGGCAGCTTCATGAAGTTAGATCAACATAATGGAGCATCACAAAGTGGAAGCTCTGAACAAAGTAGGTATTTTCTGTCCACATGTATTTTGTAATTTTGTACATACAGATTTAAATTTAAAAATGGAATGAATGAAAAATTTTGTTACTGTTTTTATAAGCTTCTTAGATGAATTTTTGATATATATAATCTTCATTTTCTAGCATCTACAGCACACAGTGGTGCAGTTAACGGCATGTGTTTCACCAGCGATGGTCTCTTCCTTGTAACCTTTGGCACCGATGAAAGGTTAAGACTTTGGAACACTTCAAATGGGAAAAACACTATGGTCAACTATGGAAAGATCAATAATGAGAATGAGAAATCAGTCCAAGTTGCCATATCAAATTCTTGTGATCCCACACTGGTCTATGTCCCAGAGTTTGCTGATGTGGCAGTGTATGATATGTTCAGTGGAGAGCGCTATCATACTTTACGTGGGCACTATCACCAGGTGACGTCCTGTGCCGTTCACCCCAATACACATGATCTGTACTCGGGGTCCTTAGACAGGAATATATTACAATGGACAGCAGATAGGGACTCTGTGGAAGAGGCTCTCTATCAGCATGAACATCCAGGGAAAGATGATGGAGGTGAAGGAAAAACTGTTGGTAGAACTAGTCAAGTTAATGCTGATGAATGGAGTAGTGATGAGGAGGAGTTAATTAATGTGCCGCTAGAACAGTTTTTATAGCATTAATAAGGTAGAAATTATGATGGTGACATTGCAGTTTGATGATACAGGATATTTTACCGACATTTTGACGGGAACACTATATATCTTTGTCATTGGAATGTGCTTGTCTTTTGATGAATTTTCCATATATTTTGTAAGGGATTGCATCTAAATGTAACATTTTTCATATCGTGCAAAATTTTTGTATTGATATATTTTAGAAACAGATTGGATTAGGCACGTCACAAAAACAGTGCAAATCACTGAAAATTCTCTACAATGATTAATAATGTTCTGTAGATATTTACCTTTAGAAAATCTCATATTAGATTGAACAATAGTGTATAACTGCACCATGTTAACATTGTGGACAAGTGCCGCCTATATGTTAATATAATTAACATTTTTTTAAATTTGAAGATTGAAAATTGATAAATCATCGTCAGAAGTAAATAAGATTTAAAAAACGATCTCTACGGCCGCCAAATATTCTCTCACGACTTAAATCATGTCAGGAATGTACTAAGTTGCTCTATATACAGGCAACGAATTTATAAACACTTCTTAAGTTAACAATAGACAGTTAATTTTGGTACTTGTATGGCATGAAGATGAAACTGTCTTCATGCAAACGCCAAATCCCGCGATTTCAGGGAAGTTGGCAATGCTGTGTTACAGTATTTATCTTAATGTCTATTTTCCCTCAAACCAAACAGACCGAAGGGAGGTTAGTCTGTTTACCGACATCAGCGGCATTTCGAAACGCTCATTAAGTTGCAAAAAAAGTAAATAAAAATAAAAGATATATTGAATTTAAAATGACCGTCTCTTTTTAATTCCATCCCGAGTGCGACTGCGTAAAAATTGGACGTAACGTCGTTTATGACGTTGAAAGTTGCTAACTTCTTTTAGCATCACAGTCGTTTCCATGACGGAGAGAAAGCAAGGGCGTAAAATGCGGAAGTGAGGGCTTTTGATAACAGTAACGCTTTGTCTCCATAACATGGAGTGATTAGTAATTTTGAAAGCAAATGGCCGGTAGAGAAAGAGATATTGTCGCCCGCATGAAGTGCGAACTTGCACATGAACGAGAAATGAAGAAACTTCTTCTGCAATCGAGAGACGAATGGAAACTCACCGTGGCCGAGCTCAAGAAACGTTACGATAACGCCATGCATGATGATTACGAGTGGAAAATACGGTGAGTCACCCTGAGCTTCAGAGATAACTTGCCACTAACCTCTTCACTATAGCCTATCTTCATCGTGTCAAGTTACACGATGAAGATAGGCTATAGTGAAGAGGTTAGTGGCAAGTTATCTCTGAAGCTCAGGGTGCGGTGAGTAGACTTGAACGCAAAACTTGTCTCAAATAAAGTGAGGGAAAGAAAGAAAAAAAAACATGGAAATCACCATTTGAAATGTTGTGCATACTTATAAAATATTAGTATGTACATGTTCCAGTATACACATGGCGGCACATCACCAAACTGCATTAATAATTATTACGTACCGAGTAATGTGGAGCTTTAAAAAGCAAATGAAATGTATGTACAATGCGCTTAAAAATCACTATAATAGTAAAACACCGCATACTGTTACGTGTGTCTTGTTTTAACTTGCGGTTTTTTCAATAAATTAACATGAATACCACGTCAAAATATAATATTTGCATTCACAGCAAGAGGCGGGGTTACTAAATCTGGTATTTTGCCAGTTATTTGCTTCATTTTCATGGTCGCAGTTATTTTGCAGTTATGAGACCCAAGTAGACATCAACAAGCAATTTGAAAGACAAATCCAGCAGTTAGCCGAAAAATTGAGGAACCAAAAAGCCAACATAAAGAATAAAACAGACTTAGATAATATGGCCGAAACCGACCTTAAAAGGATGATAAGTCAATTGACCAGAGAGAAGGGCAACTTAGACAGTACGGCGTTTCTTATTCTAAAATAGCGTCAGTTGATAGTGTGGTGGATGGGAACATTTCATTTTTAAAGATAAATTTACCTGTTTTTCGAGTTCATGTTTTCGATTTGTGAGAAGATATGATAAAAATAATAATATTAACAGGGCGCTAGCTGAAATATTACTCTCTCTCGAGAGACTAGCTCTGATACACACTTTCAGATGTGACCTTACAGCTTTGCTTTAAACATATTTGACATACATGTATCATCACATTCAAAGGAAAGAAATGTGTATTCCTTCACACAGATTCTTTTACTATTTTTTTTTTCTGCTAACACAGGTCAACTCAAAGATTTTGAGTGGCGACTCGACCAAGAAGCCAAAGCTTTTATTCGAGCTGACGAAAAACGGAAAATGATTCTCCTCGACATCAGCCAGGCTAAGAATGTAATAAAGGAGACTGAGAGGCAGTGTGACGCAAGACTTTTTAACATGAGAAAGAAGCACTATAAAAGGCTTCGAGAAAGATTCAAAGTCACCTTGCCACCCTTGGATAGAGAGTCAAATAAACGTGTGGTCGTTGCAGAAGGGGGGTACGCCAAGCAGGCACAGATGAAAAGTGAGAAGAAAAAACCAAAGAATTCTTTTCGGATGTTGAACCCTAAGATGGGTCCAGCGAAAAAAACTGCTTTAGTGAATAAATTACCACCTATTCAAGACGATATGCCAAAAGTGTCCGGACCAAGTGTTATTGAAGTTTCGTTTTCAAGACATAGAGCCACTGACGTTAGAAATGAGTAAAGTGGCGTCGTGAGAGCGTTTTGGGACATTTTTCACAGCAATTGTATAATTTCACCACATCGAAACAACAGTGCTCTACTCGGTAATATTATGTGTCTTCTATTCATAACTATTCATACTAATAGTATATGATATCGATTTTACAGAAATATTTTAGGGCAAACTGCAGCCTACTAGAAAATAGACCTTGATTACGATTGTTTCTTTTCGCCGTCACTAAGGCCTCCATTTAACATGTCGGGTACATTTTAGTCTAGTGCAATACATTTAACCTATGTTGGTGTACAAAATATACGACAAAGCGTGGAATAAAAAAGGTAATTTCTTTTATTTTCATTTCAAAATCCAATTACAATTTCAACGATGCAAAAAGCTGAAATAAACAAGAAATATACTCGCATTTTCGGATATCCGATACACATTTTTACACCATCTGTGGACACGAGGCGAATAAACGAAGCAAAAAATGTCTTCATACTAGTACAAATACTACACTGTACTACATATAAACGCGTTTTTGGTGCTAAATACGCTAATATAAATAAAAAAAACACTCGCTTGAGAAAACGCCTTTCCAAATTCGTTTCTTCATGTCACCGTAGTTCAGGGTACTCCCCTATCAAAGAACATTACAAAGATGAATGGAATAAAAACCTACACATATTAGAAGATATTTTACTGCACTTTTAAAATGTAAATTTCTGTGTAAACCTAAAGCAAAAAAAAAATAAATAATAATAAATAAATGAATAAATAAATAAATAAATAAACCAGTGGTGTTTTACACGTTTAGTGGACATTGGACGAATACACGCTGCTTTTTATTGTCTAGCAGTTAAGCACTAACGTTTGCAGACTTCACTGAGATCTTCATGTTATACACAAAAACTTTTTGTCTCTTAAACAAAAAATAATGGGCGCGCTTGTCAATAATTTTAGTTGTCAACGACCCCAAAGTCCTCCTTTTGTTTGATACCGATACCCGTGGCCCACGACTTGAAAAGGGTATAGGTAATGTAAAAGACAAGTAAGAACATAATATAACATGCATTATCGTTTCAAATGAGAATGATTAAAAATTATTGGCATGTGGCCACCCCGTGGTTTTATTTTACATATAAATAGTGCATTCTCCATTTTCTACGATGGCAATCAAATGCCTGACCAATATCTATCGATGACCACTGAAATTTGAAAACAAAGCCACTCTTAACTTCAGGGTACATGTACACGCAGGCGGTGTGTAAGAGATGCCAAGAAGCATTTCCCATTGTGGGACATATTACTGTAAGCACAACTGTAGCAATTTGACAGCTTTTCCTATCATCTGGCTTTTAGAACGCAATTCGTCTCTGCCAGAGTAGTACTCTTACTGGAACAATTACAAAGATCTAACAATTAATCATTATAAATGTAAAATAAAAGCTTGTAAATGTACATTCTATCTACATGTGTTATTTTCTTAACTAAATGGTTCAGATGACATATTATATTCACTTGTAGTCATGCCCATTTCACACACTTTAAATTAAATGTAGAAGGATTCCATACAAGTTGCCCAGAGTTCATGCCCTGAATATGCATGCATGTAATTAAAGTCACCAAAGATGTTCACCTAGTCAATTTAATGTCTCCATACTATAACATATAAGACTGTTGTTTATCCATGTGACAGCGAAGCTGAATCTTCAGTCTAGCAGTGATTTCAAGTAATAACATAAGAAGGCACAGATTTGTTCACGTCAGAGTCAATTTGCTTTGTGCACCTTCCTGGTCCATTTCTAGCTTTGCATTCCTAAAACCAAGTCTTGGTGAAGAATCTTTTTAAAGTGAGAATGGAAATCCAATGCAACTTGTACATTTTTTCATCCTCAGCACATTTTTTAATTCAATTAATTAGTTCAGGTTTGATATCTTTTTACATTTTGTACAGAACCATCTACATCTCTCCAGTTCCTGTGTAAATTTCTTGTCACTATTCCATGACTTCATTTTGTTTTATTTCACATCGAGTGTTCCTTCCATGAAGAGGGTGAATTAATAATTGAGCTTACTTTGGAAAAGGGCCATCTGAAAAACACAAATATACATTAATGAAGACATGAATATCATTCCATATATTTTCTATACAAATTCTGAAATGCATTTCAAGACATTTTGGATTTTAAAGCAGTACAATGGAGGAAAACATTATGAGTAATTTTCATTAATTTTGTTATACTCATCTTACACATAGTCACTTCATAAGAGCATAATCTTAATACTTCAATCCTTTTTATAAACAAATTAAACACCAGAAATACTTCACTAATATACCTAGAGAAAAAGCATTCCACAAATATGCAAAACACAACCTAAATACACAGAAACATCTAGAACTATAGAATTAAAAAATACAATATAGATCCACATAAACAAAAGCTCAACAGCAAAAATCATGTAAAGCAGATTCTCATGATCAATGTCAGGATTAGAAAGATATATGAAAGATTCTGGTTTTACAAATTTATAAATGTTTTTTTTAAGTGAAAGAAATTCATTTCCTTACAATTCATGTTAAAATTTTTTTTAGCTCCTTGTATAGCACTTTTGGTAAAAGATGTTCAACAAATAATAAAAATCTATTCCTTTTTCTTTTTGACATAAAAAATGCTCTCTTCAATAAAAAACAACTTTGTAATATATTTTACACTTAAAAATAAATAAAAAATAAATAAATAAATAAATAAATAAATAAATAAATAAATCATAATAGTCAAAGGGGGGTTCAATTAAAATCTGTTTACTAATTTCAGCTTGCACTTTATGATGCAGGTATGAGTGCTCTTTAAGTGAAGTTTTGGAGTCCTAATTCAACTATTAACTGTTACACTTAAATGAAAAAAATAAATAAAACTGCTGAATAATTGTGGTGAATAACTATGAAACATGCGCTGAAATAAAAAAAATCTATACTGCAAATGAAGCATCCTGATTAGTTACTAATTAGGTGTGTTAAACGTGCTGCCTTCACTTAGCAAGAGAATGTCTAAACTTGACTTTTTCATCTAATGAGGGTGATAAAAAAATGCTAGAAATAAACATGAAGCATCGGCTGTATCTCTACTCTCACATAATTGAAAGAATGAGATACCTCAGTCTTCGTTGATGGTTTTAGAATACTGAAGGTAATAGAAGTGAAGTTAGTATCAGAGAGATATTAAGAGATCATAATCAGATATACGTATACAACACAGAGTTTACACAATAATCTAAATCAAAATCACACTTTTCTATTCAGTTTTCAAGGGATCACAAAAAAGTGGGAAAACGACAGTTTTGACAATACTTTAACCTCAGAAACACACTCGAATTAACAAAATCTAAGGGTGC